TGTGTGTGTGTGTGTGCGGGTGCGTGCGTGTGTGTGTGTGTGCGTCTGCCTGTGTGTGCGCCCACCCCCGCGGAAGCAGGGGGGCGAATAAGCCGGGTCTTGGGCCTGGGCGAGGACGGCGCCAGCGTGCAGTTGGCGCCCCCCTCCCCCGCCCCCCGCAGGTCTCTCTGGAGGACCTTTCCGCCAAGACCGGTAACAAGGACGCCGCGGTCATGGCGGAGGCGCTGAACAAGGCGGTGGGCAATTTGTTGAACAAGGGCAAGTCGCCGAGGCGTCCAGCCGCCTTCGCTGTCGCGCCCCGAGGCTAGTCGGAAAGACGGGCCGGGCGTTTCGCTTGATTTTTTCTCACCATGTATGATTCTAAAGTTGTAATTTGCAGAAGTTGCACGGATTGTGGGCAGGTCGTTTTCAAAATATGATTCCTGTTGTAGCACCGCGCACATCCATGTTAAAACATTGCCAGAGCTTCACAGATTGTGGGCGGGTCGCTTTCAACATGACGTTTTCGCTTTAGCGCCGCGCACATCCGTTCAATTATTTGCAATAGCTGCACGGATGGAGGGCGAGTGGTTTTCAAAATGTGGGTCTCGCCCAAGCCCCCCGCGCAATCGCTCCCAACAGTTGCAAGAACTTCACGGATGGAAGGCGGGTGGTTTTCAAAATGAGGTTCTCGCCTTAGCGCAGCGCGCACTCTTTGTAGAAAATTGCAAGAGCTTCAAAGATGGAGGGCGGGTGGATTTCAATTGTGGTTCTCGCATTCGCGCCGCGTACATCCGTCTAAACAACAGTCGCAAGAGCTTCACGGATGGATGGCAGGTGGTTTTCAAAATATGGTTGTCACCGATCACCGCGCGCACTTCCGTTTAAACAATCGCAGAGCTCTCATGAACGGAAGGCGGTTGGTTTTCAAAATGTGGTTATCGCTTTAGCGCCGCGCGCATTCGATTAACAAGAATTGGAAGTCTTTTCACGGATGGGAGGCCCTTGGTTTTTATCATGTGGTTTTTGCCTTACCGCTGCACACACTCGCTGTAACAAATGCGAGAGCTTCACGGATGGAGGGCGGGTGGTTTTCAAAATGCGGTTATCGTCTTAGCGCCGCGCGCACTTGTTTCACGATATTACGGTAAGCTTATGGAATGGCATGGTGAACGTCCCAAGATTGGCGTTTCCACACGACGTCCGATTGTCAGGGCGCAACAGTTACGTTGATTCGTGGCGTAGGAGTCCCAGGAATGGTTTTGGCACGATTCAGGATCGTCAAGACGCAACAGTAGCTGTGATTCGCGTCGAGTGCGGATGCGGGTGCACGAGGTCCGGCAGGCCATCGCATTCGGGGCTATCTTCGGGCAGGCCGCGGACAACGACAGCCTGACGGCCGAGATCCGAGGGCTCTATTTCTCCCTCTTCTTGACCTTCCCTCTCGCTTGCAGAGCTGATTTAGGCACGGTTGCAAAACCCGTTGTCACCAACATATTGCGCAGGAGTCCTTGTTTCAATTGGTCCCCCCCGGCAGGTGAACAGTTGCTCGGCACACATCAGTGGAAATTTCGGCCTAATCTAATATTCTCCTCCTCCTTCTCCTCCTTCTCTTCCTCCTTCCCGCCAAAGACGAATCCCCCAGACCCCTCCTTGAGCGCGCAACGACCAGGATTTCGGGGCGGACCCTGCCGCGGGGACGGAGGGCGTTGTCCGACACCCAAGCAAAAAGTAACGGGAAGCACGAGAAGTCGCATGAGACGAGGAGTCGCATGAGGAGCACGAGAAGTCGCATGGGAGGACGAGGGAGGACGAGAAGTCGCATAAGATGAGACCCGGCGATCGTTTCGACTAATTAACGTGGGTGGTATGCAACAATACCAGAGACGACAAGAAAGGGGAAGGGAAGGGGAGCGGAGAGCGCGTTTCTTGGACACATTGTGAGGAAATCCACCGCGAAAGGGCGATGTTGCATGCCTCGTGAGAAAGTATGGAGGTGGGAACCGTTGTTGTCATTGTTCGGGGGCCAGGGGAACAGTCTGAGTCTTACGATTTTCCTTTGCGGATAACAGGGTGCAAGCCCTGGGAAGAGCACTAATTTGTTTTGCGACATGAATTTAAGTAATGTTGAGAAGTCTGTTCGCTCTCATCTGCTCGCGTGACAGTCTGCATGTATATCCCAAACCCTCGATACCCGCTCTCTCCTTCTTCGACTGTACCCCCCATTGGGGGGCAAACTTTCTTAGTTGACACAACCCCTGAGGCAGGAGAAGGAATGGAGGAGGGAAGGGCAACAGGGAGGGAGAAGGGTAAAGCAAGATAATGATCAGCAGAGGGCCCCCAGGAGCAGGCAATCAAGCGGCAGAACCAAACGGGCGGGCCAGGCGAGCGGACCCACACGGCCAGGTCGAGCGGGCGGGTCGAGATGGCCGGGTCGAGCGAGCGGGTCGCCGAAGCGTCAATCTTGCATGAATCGCGAAGAAGTCTCAAGCGATAGCGCGATTCCCAAGTGAATCATGAAAACGGCCAGAGCGAGAGTGTGATTCTTAAGAGTCGCGGCGCGGCGTCTGAATGAATTGCAGGGAAATCCCACGCGAGAGCTCGATTCCAGGGCAAGTGGCAAGGGATTCTCCAGCGAAAGCCTGGGATCTCAATAAGTTGTAAAGAATAATCAGGCGAGAGCCGTTGTTGTTGTTGTAAACCGAGGGCCAGGGGCGCAGTCTGAGCCTCAAGATTTTCTCGTGAAGAAAAGAGGGGGTGAGCCTGGGGAGGGGCATTTCAATTGAAAAACACAATGGGCACCGGAGGTGAGATCAACAATAATTGTTCCTTCGAAATGAGAACCCAGCAACGACAACAACCACAAATAAGCAGAATCCAGCCCGCGGAATGCCACCTAACCCACGCACCGGGGGTGGTGGAAGACAGTTCGGCCCCCTCTCTCCGATACCCGAGGTGATCTTCTCGATGCCTGGATTACTTAACGACTCCCTTGTTTCGATGTCGTCGGCCATGATGGTTCCTCACACCTTACAGGCACTGGCAGTGCTCTCAGGATTGCTTCACGGTGGTGTGATGTCGTGGTGTTGTCGGCTCCGCTTCCTCTCTTCCATAATTTCGTTGGGGTAGTAAAAGAAATCATTTGAATTCTAGACGCTTCGCGTATCCCCACCAGCCTCCCTGGATGCGCCGTTGCATGTCTCGTTCTGGGGCTGTTCTGCAGACTCCCTGGATTGCACGCTGGCTTTGACGCCTCGGGACGCTGCTGCCTGCCGCCTGACCGCGGCCTCGCGCGCGCCCGCCGTTAGTCGCGGCCGCAGCCCGCCCGCGACCGCCCGCCGCTGGCGCTTCCGCCTGCGGCTGTAAAAAAAGGCTTTTTTTATCCCCACCAGCCCATCCAGAAACGATGTCCAGGCAAGTTGAGAGGTGATCAGGGAAGTGCGGGAGCAAAGAGGGGGGCGGCCGAACCGTGTGAAGGAGAGAGGGGGCGAAGGAGAAAATTGGATGGATGGATGGATGGGGGAGTAGGGAGAAGGAGGATGAGTAGGATGAGGAGGAGGAGGAGGAGGCGGAGGAGGCGGAGGGGCAGGAGGAGGATGAGAAGGGAGAGGAGGAGGAAGGAGGAGGAGGAGAGCAAGCAAAAGGGCCAGAGGTCTCTTGGATGTTTCTCGGAGCATCTAGAGGTATCTCTTGGGCGTCTTGGGACGTCTTGGGGGTCTCTTGGCGGTCGTGGGGGGCTCGTCGGCGTCTTGGGTGCCTCGGGGGGGCCTCTTGGGGCCGCTTGGGATCCTTTGGGGGGCCTCCTGGGGGCCTCTTGGGGGCCTCTTGGGGCCATCTTGGGCCCCCCTCCCCCCCCCCAGGAGGCCAACATGGGGCCAAAACCATGGTAAAACCAATGAGTTTGGCTTCCTCGCCGAGGCCGTTTTGGACGCTCCGACGACTCGCGGAACCCCCTGTCCAGGTCCATGGGGAGGGGGGAGGGGGAGGGGTAAACCCCTCCCCGAAGGGGAGGAAGGAGGGGTGGAAGAGGAAACTCCCTAAACGACCTCCGCCCAGAGGGCTGGTGGGACTTTGTTCACGATTTTGGCTTTGAGGCCCGTGATCAGGCCCTGGGACCATCAAAAGTGTATCCGCGGTGAGAAAAAACATAAATCATGAAAAACAAAAAAGGAAGCGGTCGGAACCTGGAGTTAGGGCCAAGGGTTACAAAAATTATGCCAGCGGGTGTCAGGGATCGGCGCCGACCTTGTCTGTCTTAGCTGTTTGTTGTTCCTTGTGTTTCTTCTGCACCATGTTTCGCAGCTCCCCGTTCTGGTCCTCCTCTCCGCACCAGTCTCATTCCTCCGGGGGGGCACCGCGATGCCCAGGAAGATGCCAAAAAGAGCGTAACGTGTCTTACCTCCCTCCACGCTCAATAAAGACAACCACCACCACCACAGGGTATTGGGGGGGGGGTACGAAATTTGTTACGTGCGCCCAGATTCGGCCCCGCCGCCATGCGCCTTGACTCGACACGCTAGCGCCTCCTGGCACCAGGAGGCGCCAGAGAAACCAGTTGCATGTAGCTGATTCCCGAGTCCCCCTTTTGCCATTCCCATTACCGTCCGCGCCGAGAAGAGGGCCCCGTCCGTTTCCCCGATGCCCGGAAGGGGGCCACAAGGGCGTCACAGCTCCTCCCTCCTCCCATCCCCGGCGACGACGACCACCGCAACCAGGACGACGACCGACGACCACGGCCACGACGACCGCGACCGCGACCACGACGATCGCGACGACGAACACCACGACCACGACGACGACGACGACGGCGACGACGGCGGCGGTGGCGGGTAACACCAGAGGTCCTCGGGACGAGGACAAAACTTGGCGCCATCCCTCCTCTGGATCGACGCCGCGGCCGCGGTCGGGGCACGCGAGATCGCGATCGCTTCGACCAGCGCCCGCACCCTCCACGGCCTAAGGCGCTCGGTGATGGAGCTGGACAACCGGGGCTCGCACTTCTACCTGGCACTCTACTGGGCCCAGGCGCTGGCGGAACAGGACAGGCCTGGGCCACGCATCGACAAATTGCCCCAGCAAAGCACCCAGATAGCAGCAAAGGGGAAGAGGCAGGTTCCGATCCTTTCCCTTGGGCCAGTTGCACATCCATTGTAGTCGCGATAGTGAAGTCAGCGTTCTCGTCACATAGCACATGTGGTGGCGGAAGCGGCCCGCCCAAAGCAGAAGCGCCACTCACCTTTGTGCAAGCTTGTTGGCGGGATCTTGTTGGAGCTCATGCTGCACCGGCGAGAGCGTCAAAAAAAGGATTTGGCCCGGGCCACTTGCGGGATTCGCAGCGGCGGGCGGCACAGAAGGGAGCGGGAGTGCTGGCGCTCCGATTTATTCGAGGCGTGGCCCCCCAGGACCCCCAGGGTTTCGGCGCGTAGGCCCCTGTTTCAACGAGTCTGAGGGGGTCGTGTACTTGTCTTCCTCGATGAATTGGATGGGTCAGCTGAGTCTTTTCCTTGTGCCCGCCCGTGGGTGCCTCGTGGGCGCCTCGTGCGCTGGGTAGTTAGGTGTGCCGACGTTTCACCTGGTGCCATCCCGTGGGCGCCTCGTGGGCGCCTCATGCGCTGGGCGGCCGCATGGCCTGCATCACATGTATTGCGCCAGGTAGCTTGCACCACGTAGCTTGCACCACATTGCTTACACATCCACAGTACATCTTGAGATCCACGCTGGGAAACGTCCTTGTATTGAACATGTCCCCTGTCCCAAAACACCACTTGCACTTAGGTGCTCGTATTTCGCTTGCTTGAGATGATTGGTTGGGTGTGCCGGATTTTCGGCTGGAGGCTGGTGCCCGGTTGGTGGGCGCTTCGTAGGCGCTTTGTGTTGGGTGGGTGTGCCGAGTTGTCGCCTGGTGCCCGCTTATGGGCGCTCGTGGGCGCCTCGTGCGCTGGGTAGGTGTGTGGAGGTTTCGCTTGGTGCCCGCCCGTGGGTGCCTCGTGGGCGCCTCGTGCGTTGCGTAGGCGTCCCAAGCTTTTATCTGGTGCCCGACTGTGGGCGCTCGCGGGCGCCTCGTGGGTGCCTTGTGCGTTCCTCGTGCGCTGGGTGGTTGTGCAAAGGTTTTGCCTGGTGCCCGCCCATGGGCGCCTCGTGGGCGCCCCGTGTGCTGGGCGGGTGTGCGCAAAGGTTTCGCACGCTGCCCGCCTGTGGGCGCCTCATTGGCGCCTCGTGGGCGCTTGGGTGGGTGTGCCGAGGGTTCGCCTGATGCCCGCCCGTGGGCGCCTCGTGGGCGCTTCGTGCGCGGGGTGAGTGTGCCAAGGTTTCGCCTGGTGCCCGACCGTGCGCTGGTTTGATGTACCGAGGTCTCCATTGGTGCCCGCCCGTGGGCGCCTCATGGGCGCCTCGCACACTGGATGGACTTGTCAAGTTTTCGCATGGTGCCTGCCCGAGTGCCCTCGTCGGCGCCCCGTACGCTGCGCGGCCGCGTAGATTACACCACATAGCTTTTACCCCTTTGCTTGCAGCGAAGGGCCTACGCTGCAGAGCTTGCACTGAATACCTGACACCAGACAGCTTACACCGCATAGCTTACATCACATGTCTTGCAGAGCACCGCCTACACCATGTAGCTTATGCATCGTAGCTTGAACCGCATAGCTTACCTGGCATAGCTTGCCCCAGATACTTTACATCGCGCAGCTTGTATCGCATAAATTACACCACACAAGTTACACAACTTAGCTAGTACCACATAGTTATCTAGCGTTACATAATGTATACATGCACCGTGCAGTAACATACTGTGCGGGGCCTACGCTGGCAAGCATGATTGTCCTGATGGTACAAGGGGGTCATTGTTTTAAAAAGAAACTGCCCTCCATCAGTGGAATGTGTAAATACGTTTAAGGCGAGTGTGCTCGGCGTTGCGGCGAGGCTTACATTTTGGAAGCAGGCTGCCCCCTATCATTGTAGATGCTGGCAACTTGTCGGACGAACGTGCCCGGCGCCAAGGTGAGAGCCACATGTTGGAAACGACCCGCCATCTTTGCAGCTGTCGGGAACGTTGAGGACGAATGCGCGCGGGACTACAGTGAGAAGTACATGTTGGAAACGTGTTGCCCTCCGTCCATCTATGACTGTTAGATGTTTCAAGCGTCGGGGCCGCAAACGATTGAGAATTTTCAGGACAAACACCCGACCCACCCGATCGACATGCCCCGACGTGCGACGAGGAGGAGGATTCATTCGGCGAGGAAAAATGGTGAAGAAGGAGGACCCACCGCCTCCGACAAAGACGACGAAAGCGACGACGCCGACGACGACGACGACGACGACGACGACGATGACACCCAGGAGCTTACGAGAAGCTGCCATCCCTTAGAAAATCTTGGAAATCACACGTCGGCAATTGCGACGGCGACAACCCCTGGAGGACAAGGCGCCAGTGCTGAAGGAGCGTTTCGCGCCAGTGGCGGCGCAATTGAAGGCGAGCGAGCCGCGGATCCTGGGCGAGCTCATCGCCGCGGAGGGCAGGCAACTGCGACAACGACAGCGACGACGACGACGTCGTTTCGCAGGTTCCGCGAAGGCGTTCCTGTACTGGGGGTTCCCCTCGTTGCTGTTGGATGGACGTAGCTTCAAAAGGTGACCAGGATGGACCACGGTAGGGGCCCGGTTCGGGAACCCGCGTTGAGTTGACTGTCCCGACGGCGGCGACGACGGCGGGACGACGACCCACAGATCTATGTGTTCGTTCCCCTCCCTCCCCGTCGTCCTTTCCTTCCTCTCTCACTCCCTCTTCCTCCCCCTTCCCCCCTCTTTCTTCCCCCCTCCGTCCACTGCCCCTCCTCCCCTTGCTCCTGCTGTTCCCCCTCCTCCCCATATTGTTATTCCTGCTTTTTCCCCTCCTCACTCCCTCCTTATTCCCTCATCCCCTTCCTCCCCCTTTTCCACCCTCCCCCCTTTTCCTCGCCATCACTACCGCGCGCCATGTTACCGCATTGTTCGGCAGGGCCATCGCAATCACACCACCATCAGCACCACCATCACATTTCCGATGGGATTCAATAGTTTGTCATGCAACATCCAAACGAGATTGATAACCTTTGGTTATGAAGGTGGTTTATATCGCGGACGCTCCCGCGCCACAGGTCCTTCGCTGCTTCGACACAGGCGTGGGATATGAGGATGGTACTGGGGCCGACGCCGAAGTAGGAGCTGCAGGCGCTGTCGTTTGCCGTGCGGGCCCGCGTGGCCACAGTAGCCCATTCGTGCAGGACTGTCCCGACCCGATTCCATGATAGCAACCATCTAAGTGTATGTTTCGCCCCCGTGTTCGGCATGATCCAGGGCGACGCGCGGACACAGCCACAACAATACCAATGTGGACTTGAAGGTGGGCGGCGTCAAAATTCGAATGGACCCGTTCAACAGTCGCCCCGAAAACATGGATCCGAACGTTCAGGGGTTGGCGAATCGGACGTCGAATTGTGAACGTTGTGGAAGCGGCCCCGCGAATCCAGCAGCAGAAGCATCGGAGGCGCCGGTCGTGGAGACAGCGGTGGCAGCGGCATTCCTCGCGGCCATCCATCGAGACCCTATGCGGCAGGGGCTGGCTGGATACCAAAGTCGAGGACGCAGGCATTGGTCGCCCAGGGGCTTCGACCCGCAGGCCGCGAAGGAGCCTACCGAGACAAAACCAAGCAAGGCCACGCAGGCGAATCCAGTCAGTTGTTGGCAAGTCCTCGAGTTGGCTGAAGACATCTACAATCTCTGGCCCTTGCAGATCGACCCGTGGGATGACGTTCGGGAACTCGGCAGACACGCGGGCGCCCCCCCCCCCCCCCCAAAAAAAAACGCTTTCAAAGGATACACCTTCCAGCATAACAACACAGCTGATTCGCCAGATCGGCCGCACCGAGGAGGATAACAAAGTGAGCAAGAAGACCTCGGCCGCGAGGAGTCCCCCACCACCCATCTGACATTGCAGATTACGTTGCGCTCCAGCAGACCCGCGAGGCGCCGACGAACGCCGCCCTGGGCGACTGGGGCGCGGGCAGCGGTCATCGCGGCAGCGGGCTCTCCGAGGTGTCTTCCACGGCCCAGGGCCCTGGCCCGGCCGCGCAGATTCGCGGGGCGCTTTGAAGACTTCAATCTCGGCGCGGGGCCGATGGCGGGCCCGGGCGAGGCCCAGGGGGACATGACCACCATTGCATGGCAGATATCGGGGCGCCTGCTGCGTCGGTAATGTGTTTCGTGCGCGTGTTTGTTTGGTTTGATGTGCGACGAATTGGAGACCAAAGCATGTCGCGCGCGCTCGGCCAAGGACGCCCCGCGTCCGACTCCGTCGAAAATAGCGCCGTCGACGCGGGCCAAATCAGGTTCGCATCGAACCCCAATGGGAGGGAAGAGTGGGCGAGGGACAGAGGAGCCGATATCGGCGCATCCCCCAGCCGTCGAGGCGAGGCCGCGCCCTCTGGAGCACGCCAGGGGTCGCGCTATATACTTCTCATCGGCGCGCGCCCTACTCCTCGCCACTGCGCCCCATGGCGCGACGACGAGAGCGCGGATTATATCCAAACAGTGATTCCTGGGAACCACGACCACCGCTCAGCGACGAAGACTGGCGCCCACGCTGCCGCGGGCCGTCGCAACCCCCGAACAACGCGTCGCCCCAGTCGATGCCGCGGCCCCGCGCTGCATCAATCTCGCCAAAGCCCGGAATTCATGCGTTCTGTGCGCGGTGGAGCCAGCCCCTCGAGCTCGTTGGATTCGAGACGGCATCAAGCCCAGTTCCGCGCCCCGCCAAATCGATTGCGCCAGGGCCCCGCAGCGTCGTTCTAGAGTTCGGCATATCTTGCGCGCATGAGGCTTTAGCCCCATATTCGCTCGGGATGAGCCGGGGCCCCAGGAGTCGGCACACGTAGACGGATGGACCTTTCGCGTGCGCGCCACTGGTCAGGAGCGGACTACAAGCGGGATGGGGGTCCGCAGTCTTCCCCAGGGACGCAGCGAACCGTCGCCCAGGGCACGA